TTGAGATAACCATAAACCACATCAAGATGTTTGGTATCTGCTGCAGAGCAGGGGCAGAACGAGGGTGGCTGTGAAGCTCCAGGCAGAGATGACACTAAAAGCAAGAGTTCAGGGTGCCACAAACCCATGAGTGACCTCCAAGCCTTCAGGAACCACTCACAACCCACCCAAGCCTACAACAAGGAAGGTTTCCCCACCAGGAAACCATCCTGAACTCATCAGTGAACTGGGACCAGCTGGACAAAGCTTGTTGGAAAAACCTCCTGGTGCCCTGGGGTATGGGGGCAACCAGAAGCCAAATGTGCCAGGAGCTGGCACAAAAGCAGCCCCTTACCTTTGAACTTCTTCAGCATGTCCCTCATGCCCAGGCAGCGCTCGGGAATGCTGTAGTTTTCCTTCAGGGTCACTGACACAGCCTTGGGGGAATGGAACTTCACCTCCTCGCACCTGAGAAGACAGGGATGCCCACAGGCTGCACCCAGAGCCCACAGCACAGCCCCTCTCCTGTTGAGAGTGACATCAGTGCCCTTCTGTTGGGAGGGGAAGAGCACTAGGGATAACCATATCAGCAATCCTGATGGGATTGGAGCTCAGTGATCCAGGGAGCAGCAGTGCCAGTCCCAGGCAAGGAAGGAGCAAGGCCACGGGGGCAGGCACGTCCCTTAGGAGGGGACACATCTCACATGTCACAAGCCAGGCAAGACCTTGGCTCTGAGCCCCTGGAAAAGGAGGATGGAACCTCTGAGGGATTGTCTCAGTCCCTCCCGTGTCTACCCCAGGAGGACCAAACCAGATGCCTGGCAGGGAGGACAAGGTGGCTGGTGTGGAGCAGGCACAAACATCTCCTTCAGAACCTGGAGCAGCCAGGACAGTAGGAGGAACAATCCTGGTCCCTACTAGGAGTAATCCTGGGTACCTACCAGGAACAATCATGGATACCTCCCAGGAATAATCATGGTACCTACCAAGAATGAGCCCAGGTACCCACCTGCTCAGGATGCTTTTCATATCCTAGGAGGAGAAGACAAAAGCCATTCTGGGTGTTTGGCTCAGCCCCACGTGCCCACCAGCCAACACCAGGTGGTAAAGGCCCCAGGGCTGAGGCAGTGGGGCTGGTGGCACGGCCTGACCTTGAGCAGCCCGTCAGCCGGCTGCTGGCTCTTCTCCTTTATCTCCAGGATCAGGTCCTCCAGCAAGCACTTCTCCTCCACCAGCCTGGCCAGGTTTTCGTTGATCAGCAGCAGAATCTGCTTCTCCTCCTCCTCCAGCTTCTGGAGGAGCAGCTTCTCCTCATCAGCCAGCAGCCGATGCAGCTTCCCAAACTCGCTCACGATCCTCTCCCGCTTTTTCTTCACCATCTCCTTGCAATAACAAGATACATGAGGTGAAGAGAGACAATATTAGCCAAGAAAATGAGATGGAGCTGGGAAAGGCCCTGGGAAACCACCACATTTTTGAGGTAAGTGCATGAATTTTAAAAAGCAGCCAGAGGCAAACTGTGCCTCCACCTCACTGGAATTCCCGCTCCACATGCTGGGTTTACCAACAGCAGGACTTTGCCCCAGGGCATTTCTGCTCAGCTGGACCCCAGATGTCTGGGGGGGCTGTTGGGCTGCAAGGAGGTGCCTCCAGGTGTGACAGTAGGTTTTTATTGGGTACAGCTGGAGGAACAACTCGAACCTCCAGCCAAATCCAGGCTAATCCACTGCTTGGGCAGCTGGAAAAATCCACAGCAAAGGGAAAGAGCTGGAAGAATCATAGAATCACAGAATGGTTTGGCTTGGAAGGGACCTTAAAAACCTTCTATTTCTACCCTCTGCCACAGGCAGGGACACCTTCCACTAGCCCAGGTTGCTCCAAGCCCTGTCCAACCTGACCTGGAACACTTCCAGGGATCCAGGGGCAGCCACAGCTTCTCTGGGCAACCTGTGCCAGGGCCTCCCCACCCTCACAGCCAGGAATTTCCTCCCAATATCCAATCTAAATCTCTCCTCATTTAGTTTTAAACCTTATCCTGTCACCATCTGTCCATGTAAAGAAGCCTCAGGGCTGGGAAGGGATGGAAAAGGGTACCCAGGAGGGCTCTCCAGGTGTCCCACTGCAGGGTGAGGGGCCAGCAACAGAAGGGTCTGCCAGTGCTTTAGTTTCCTCCTCATTCCTATAAATTGGCACTTTCCTGGAACCCTGGAACAGCGGGAAAACACCCCACAGTAGCTTGAGTGAGGAAACCTCAGGATGCAGAAGACAAAGGAAACTAAATTCCATTTACTTTTCCATCCAAGCACATGATTCCTTGGCCCTGAGTCCTGGAGGCTTGATGAGCCAGGACAGCCACAGCCACTTCCCCCAGCACTCACAAGGGACTTTTTTCTCCTTTTACTAGAAAAGCACGACCAGAGGGAGCTGGAGGCAGCTGAGCTGCAGCTGAGCAGTGACTCAGGATCCCACAGTGGGGGGACAGTGACACAGCCCTCACAATCTCCATCCCCAGCCCCAACAGGGACAGTGGGCTCACAGAGGCATCCCAAAATCCCAGCACCCCTTGGCTGGGCTGCCCAGACAAGGGAACTGAGTAATCAGCCAGGGGAGTGTGGAGAATCCTGTTTTCCCTGCCAGAGCTGATTAATCATCAGCTCAGATTCAGGATAACTCAGGCTGGCAGTTTCATTTCCTTTTCTGCAGTTACTTTTACTTTCCATCTTTCACCCTGAGGGACATGAAACGCAGCTGTTTGCTGGTGTCTGCTCTTCCCAGAACCATCTGGAGCCGGGCAGAGGTGCAGTAATTGAGCTTTTTCTTCTTTTCTTAATGAAAGCACTTGTGGTTCCTGTTGCCGTGGAGCAGAGCTCACCACACGGCTCACACCTGGCTTGGAACTCAAGCACGTGTTGTAAAACAAAAGGCCATAAAAAACACCCTGTGTCTGTTTGTTCAACCAGCACAAAGCCCTCGTGATTCCAGGGAAACTGGAGTGCTGATGCTTCCAAACCTTTTTACAGAGACACACACGGGTCTGAGCCTGGTTTCCAGCACAGCTCCTACATCTGACAGCAGGACAGGGGACACGTCCCATCCTGGAGATTATGAGGAATCCATGTCCCCAGACAAGACCCTTCAGGATGTTGTTTTTTTTTTTTAACTGCTGATATCTCTGAAGCTCATTCTTTAAGAATTAAGCCAGGCACCTGCCTTGCACTCCTGGGTTTTCATCCTCTCTGATGACTCACGCTTCTTCACCTCCTCCGCTTCCTTCAGAAGATTCTCCAGGGATTTCTGGAGTTTGACCTGAAAAGAGGGAGCACGGGCTGAGCTCACCCCAGCAGCAGCCACTGAGCAGGGCAGGTTGGCTGGGTCCCCTCTGCCCGGGGAGGGACAGTGACCCCGTGCCAGGCAGTGCCAGCCCTGGCACCCACACCCGGCAGCTGCGCTCTTCACTCCACCTGCAGCGTTAACCCTCCCCACGCTCCTCAGCTTTTCCCCGTATTTTTTCCTCACTTTTTATGTTCTGGAGGGCACATTGACAGCTCCCCTTCAATGCTGGGGTGGAGAGTGGCCGGTGGTGCTGCCCGCTGGGCATTTGGGGTTTTTTATGTGCCGGCACTGCTGCACCTGAGGCAAAATGTCCTCAGGGCAGCCTCTCCAGGGGGTCCTGGAAGGGCAGGGAGCCAGGCTGCCTCCTGAGCTCCATGGACAGGGTGAGCCTGGATCCTGAGCTGGATGGACAGGGTGAGCCTGGATGAGCCTGGACCCTGAGCTGGATGCACAAGGTGAGCCTGGATCCATCCACAGTTTGGGAGACAGCAGGTCCAGCCTTATCCCAGCGGCTGGATGGCTGTCACCATCTCTGCCACCCCCTCCTCTGCTTTCCCAGCGGTGCCACCGGGGCTGTTGGGAGAGGGCTGGTGGGGTGTGACCCCCCCGGTGCTGCCATGCCCAGTGCCCTGAGGAGCAGGACAGGTCCCCCCCGTACCCCCACCTGCCGTACCTTGTACACCTGCGCCGCCTCCTCGATGGGGTACACGGTGTGCGGCCGGTGGAGCAGGGACTCCCGGCACACCACGCAGATGGGCTCCTCGTCCTCCTCGCAGAAGAGCTTGAGGCGCTCGTCGTGCTGTGGGCACAGGGGCCCGCCCGGGTCGGGCTGGGCGCCCAGGCCGCCGCGCAGGCCGAGCTGGCGGATGCCCTCCACGATGTTGGCCAGCTGGCGGTTGGGGCGGAGGCCGCTGCGGTGGCAGGAGGCCCTGCACTGCGGGCACGAGAAGGGCCCGTCGGCCCAGAGCCCCTTGTCCTGGCAGTGCTTGGCGATGCAGCCCCGGCAGAAGTTGTGCCCGCAGTCGATGCTGACGGGCTCGCTCATGTACTCCAGGCAGATGGGGCAGATGGCCTCCTCCTGCAGCCGCTCCAGGGCGCCTGCCAGGGCCATGGTGGCCTCGACGGGCACCTCCTTTCCTCGGTGTCACCCAGCCAGGGCCGCCACAGCCCCAGGGCCAGGGAGCTCCGGCAGTGCCATGGAAGCCCGGAGGACGAGCCGGCCTTGCTGCCGTGTGGCACCGGCCACGGAGGCTCCGTGCTGGCTGTGGGAGGAGCTGGCACGGGCCGGGACAGCTGCAGCCAGCCCCGAAGGCTGGCACTGCGTCCAGCCCGGCGGGTCACAGCGAAAGGAAAAACCCTGCCAGGAGAGCGGGACAGCACCAGAAATAACCCGTGGCTACTGACAGCTCCCGGCTGGGGGTTTGGGGAGTCTCTGGATTTGGGGTGTCTCTGGTGTTTGCTGAGCCGAGAAGCCCTCGGGACAACGGGAGCCCAGATGGCACCTGCCCACTGCCCGGAGGTGCTGGCTGGGGTCGGTGACCCCCATGCCTCGTCACACCAAAACATCCCCCAGGACACCCACCCACCACAGAGAGCAGGAGTTTGGGAATGGGACAGGACAGGGCTCGGGCACTGCCTGGCAGGAGGCAGGAGGGACAGGCAGGATGAACAAAGGGGCTGAGGGACAGCCAGGTACCACCCACAGACCCCGAGTGACAGCCTGGACCCAGTCACTGCTGCCCTCCGCAGTCTCCATGGAGCATCCCAAGAACCAGAGGGACAAGCTGCAGGTTTTGCTCCTTTTTATTATGCAAAAATAACTTCAACACCATCAGTGCAAACGAGAATGAAAAGTTTCACTGAAAATGCCAAATAAATTAAGATTGCCTTTGCAGAAACTTAAATAAGAGAGCTAAACACTGTGTTAAATAATCTGCCAAACTCCTAGGCAATGAGAAAGCAGGGATTTGTCTCGGAGGTGCCCATGAGAGCCGGTCCTTGCTGAGGTAATGCTTGGAGGGAGCAGGGCTTTGCTCATTCACTGAGTTTCTTGTCCTTTAATTGAGTCATCATGTCCTGGACCCACTTCTCGTCAAGACTGGCACAGACCAGCCTGTCCTTGACGGTGGTGAATCTGGAGAAGGAAATTCAGTGAGTAGAGGAGAGGGAGAGGGGAAAGGAAAAGGGAGAGGGAGACGAGCGTGGGACCATCTGCTCCTTGCCAGCAGTGAACCCCACAAGAGCAGACACCTCCACAGCTGCAGAACAGCCCCAAGGAAATGGGGTGGGGGATGGCTCAATGTCATTACAGGTGCCCTGCTCTCTGCCACTTAAGCCACTTTGTCCCCAGCATCCTGCCTGGGGACACAATCCTGCCTGGGTCCCACTATCTGTGGATGAGGGGGATGACCAGCAAAAGCTCCTTTGGCTCAGATCTCATTAAGACATCCATAAATCAGGTGCCTGGGGATGTGGGATCGTCCTCTGAGCTGTTCTCCTCACATGGGAGAGCCCTGCCTGGTGCTTTTTCTTGCCAGAATGAGGTGGGATGTGGGGCCCCCTGGCACTGCCAAGATGAGCAGGGTCCTCAGGAGCAGGGCAGGAGATCTACTCACATCACAGCTGGCTGGGAGCAGTAGCTGCCTGTGTGCTTGTAGCTCCTCACAAATCCCAAGGGCAACGGTCTGGTGATGAACTTAGGGCAGCAGGGACCAAAATGGTTGAGAGAAGCTGGAAGAGAAGTGAACTTTCCTGATTACACCAGATCAGGAAAAGTGCCAGTGGGGAGAAGGGGGATCAGAGGATGAGAAGATCCCCACTGGAGGAAGTGCTGCTCCCACAGTGGGCTCCCACCACAGCCACCCTCCCCTCAAGGACCCGAGGCAAGACACGTCTCTCCTTTCCCACAGCAGGTGCTGGGAAGGGAGAGCTGCCAAGAACTGCTAGACCTTGTAGAGCAGAATGAAAGAGGAGAGAGCTCCTCAGAGAGGAGAGCTTGTACTCACGAGGAGAAGAGGACACCTGGTAGCAGAGGACAGCCACAAAGAGTACAGCAAGGGCTGCTGTGAAGGTCTTCATGGTCCTGGTGGGTGGAGATGAGCTGTAGGAGTCAGGCTGCACTGGTGCAGAGTGCCCCTGGCTGTGCCTGGTGTGGGAGTCCTGGGTTCAGCCCTCTTTTATAGAGGGAGACCGTGACCAAAAATGGAAACGTGCTGGAAACACTGGTGAAAGCCATGACACAATGGGAGAAGTGCCGTGTCAAGGCCACCCCACAGGCCTGGGGAGGAACTGTCCAGAACCCCAGCGAGAGCAGTGCCCATCGATGGTACGATACCATGAAAGGAAAGAGAACAGGATATGACCTATCACTTCCTATCCCCTGACTACAGGACTCTGTAGAGAACCCAGAATTGGTGATTCAGAGGATCAGTAGATGGATCTCTTCTCTAGAAGCCGCAGCAGTGGACGGAGAGCGGCCATGGTTGCCACACACTCGTGTTTCCCAGAACATCTGCATCACAGGCAATTCACAGACATTTCATCTCTGCCACAGCAACTGGAGCAGAGAAAGTTCCTGAGCCAGGCTGACCAAGCAGTGCCCACCACAGCCCTGCTGGGCCCCACTTGTAGCACTGCCCCAGGCAATGGGGGCTTCCTCCATGGGGCCCTGAAGGCCATCAGTGCATAAACGTGCAGAGCAGAAGGTGGAGTGTGGTGCCTTCCCAGATCTGGGCTCCTCTTCTGCCCTTGGCCATCCCTTGCAGCAAGTCCTCAGGGAGCTGGATCTGTTGCTACATCACCAGTGACAGCTGAAATAGTGCTCAGTTCTCCCTGGGCACAGGACTCAGCCACTGATCCTCCCAGAGAGCTTCAGGAGCTCAGGGGCGTGTTGGCACAGCAGAGTTGGCTCAGGTGATCATTTGGTTCCAGCACTGACCCCCTCCTGACACTGCTCTGTCATTGTCCCACCAGCCACAAACACACAGAGAGGAGAATGGCTGGTTTATTTGGGCTAGGAATGGTGTCACTGCACTGGCAGAAAAACTCCTGCTGGAAATGCTCCATCCCTGCAGGAGGGCTCTGCAGGCTCCCAGGAAAAGCCTCAGGAGAGTGGAGGAGGAATGAGGTCTCCATGGTGCAAATGAACATGTTCAGGTGCTGGACAATCACAGTACAATGGGAAAGCCACGAGAACAGGCTGCCTTTCCTGATGGTCCAGTGACAAAAGGGGTCCTGTCTCTCTGTGGAGGAGGACAGTCACAAAATAGAACCCCCTGCCCAAAGTGGAGGCCTTGCAGGAACCCAGAGGAGGAACTCAAAGGGAAATTAAGCTCCCATCCATCCCCATTGCCAATCCAGCCATGCCACACCTCCAGCCCAGCCATGAGGGTCCCCCTCACTGTTCCCAGACTCCCCCTGCTCTGGGAGCTCTTGGCACCCTCTTTCCCCCATTGCTGCTCAGGGATGCTGGGGAAGGTGTGGATGAAACTCCTGGTCTCCTGTCCACAGGGGACAGCTGATGACAGGAGACAGGAGAGGTGACAACAAGGTCACACACCTCGGCTGACAGCCCTGCCTGAGGGTACAGGGGGCAGGTTGAGGCTGGGTCTGCTCAAAAGAGGCTTGGAGACAGATCTGACTGACTGGGAGACTGGGAAACACTCAGAGAGATGAGATTGAGATCGGGGTGAGATGAGGAGAGGATTGTGGTGACCTGCTGACCCAGGGGCCACCAAATCCACCCCTCACACCCTCTACTCCTACCAGCACACTCAGACCCAAACTTCCACACATCCCCTGTTCAGACCAGCTTTCCACTCCTCTGACACATCTCCACACGGGGACCAGAATAAAACTGAGAGGAGGAGAACAGGCTGGGGAATGAGCTGGAGCCTCCTCGCTGATGGCTCACACCAACACAGCCCAGCTCAGAGTTGCTTTTAGCTGAGTGTTCTGGATGTTCTTGCAACATTCAGCTACAGGTTTGATCAAAATGTCAAGATTTGGTTTGAAAAATCAGTATTTTCTATCAGGAATACAAATGTGCCTCAATGTTGTCAATGAATTCTCCCTCCTTTCAGACACACCGTGTTTCCTGCTTCCATTCATCCAAAAGGAATTCTTGGAGGTTTTGACACCTCTGCTCTTCCCCTTATTCACTCTTTTCCTCAACTCTGTTCCTTCCTTGAAGATTCTGCATTTCAGTCTTGGCTGCTCCTTCCTGCCAAGACAAATAATGCAAATCTCTAAATATTTTGATTTCTAAAACCTCCTCCACATCACACATCCCAAAGAGTGGCTATTTATGGAGGCTGTGAAACCTCTGCCTTATGGTGTGTTTCATCTATTGATAGAAACCACACATGGTCTCTTTGGATCCCTCACCAGGACAATTTTGGGATGCAGGAGGAAGCCTCTGCTCAGCCCTGCTGGCTCAGCCCTGCTGGCTCAAGCCCTCAGCAGGCTTCACCACACCACCTCTAACCACTATCGTGGGAAACTGGATTGAACAGGCAGCAGAACTGAGGCTTTCCACATGGCAACTGAAGTCTGCAAGAGGATAAGTGGCCTAGAAAGAGGGACAAAGCAAATAGGCCCTGTTTCTCCTCAGCAGGAACCATGGACCATCCAATGGAGCTGGCAAGAGCCGGGTTTGAAGGGAACAGAAGGCAGCTCTTCCCACCAGGAGCTCCCTGCCAAGGAACAGGGTGATCTCAAGGAAATTTCCAAGTGGCTGAGTCAGGGCTTGGATTTCAGAGGGAGAAGCTCAAGACAATTTGGAAAATGAAAATGGTTGGGGGCTGGGAGCGCATTCCAGAGGGGGAGCACAATTATTGGCCTTTCTCTTCCAGGTCTCTGCCGTGGCCACATCTGGAGATATTCAGGTTGGGCTAGATGGACCCTTAGTCTACATCCTCTAGGACTGTTCCTCTGATTCCCCAGGACAGCTGGTCCTACAGGACCATCAGGGTAGCTTGTGAAATCCCACTGAAATCCCTGGACTGGAATTTACACATCAGGATGTGCCTCCAGATGAATATTTTCGGTAAATGTCAGCACAAAGATACCAACAGTTTCTAAGCCCACGGCGAGGCACAAATACACTGCTGCAGTTCCTGCAATCTTCCAGGACCAATTTGGGGCACCTAGAAAAGCCTCACTACGGGACCAAGAGGAGCAGGAGGTTGCCAGGTGGCCCTTCCCAGGACAGACACAGCCTGTCCCAAATTCCAGCCAATTTATGCGTTTGTTTCCCCCAAAACACCCTGTGCACCGAGCACCCACCGGCCTGGAGCTGAGCAGGGCCTGCCCAGCACAGCGTGGCTGGTTTATCTACAGCAGATGAGGTTCAGAGGAACGAAGATAAAAGCATTTGGTGTCGGGTTTGAGAGAGGCAGGACCTGAGGCTGCCACAGGGAGCGTTGCTCTTGCACACTCTGCCTCCTGTTGTCACCAGCTGGAGGTACAGGGGACTGCAAGTCTGGCAGGAATCCAGAAAACAGTGTTCCACGGGAGCACTGGTGGATGTGGGGTCATGGAAATTATGGAATCACAGAATCATTAAGGTTGGAAGAGACCTCCAGCATCATCCAGACCATCCAGCACTGCCAAGGCCACCACTAACCACGTCTCTGAGCATCACATCTGTATTTCTGTTGACCTCCCCCCCACCCCCAGGGATGGTGACTCCACCACTGTCCTGGGCAGCTGTGCCAGGGCTTGGCCACTCCTTCAGTGGAGGAATGTTCCCCAGTATCCAACCTGAACCTCCCCTGGCACAACTCAAGGCTGTTTCCCAACCCCCACCTCACCAAAACCTCCTTCAGGGAGCTGTGGGGAGCAGGAAGGTTTCCCACATCATAAAGGGAAGACAGGGATCGAGTGGCTCTGCAGACCCACAGCCCCTGCCCCATGCACTCCCCACGCTGCCCCAGGGGGAGCACAGGGCTCCCACACCCAACCCTGCACACCCCAAATCCCACACAGGAACCCTTTCCTCAGTGATCCCGCTCTGGCAGCCAAAGCTGTCTCACAACAGGGAAATAAAGGAAGAAATGGGAAGAATTTCCTCACAGAAAGGGTGATTAGACATTGGAAGAGGATGCCCAGGGGGGTGGTGGAGTCCCCATCCCTGGAGGTGACACTCAGGGCTCTGGTCTAGTTGATAAAGTGATGATGGGTCAGAGGTTGGACTCGATGATCTCAGAGATCTTCTCCAACCTCAGTGATTCTGTGAAAGCCAGTTTGCCTTGGGAGAGACCTGGGCTCCGTGGGATGCTCCAGCTGGACCTGCTGCCTGTGCCAAGGGGAAGCTCTCCAGCAGATGGCAAGCACTTCCCACCTCCAGGTCCTGCTCCCAAGCTGGATTCTCACCTGCAGCCACCCCTGCAGCCCGAGGTCCCTGTGGGGTTCAGCTCTTCTCCTGGCAGATCCAGCTGGAAATCTGCTCAGCTTTGCTTTTGAACTCTTGGACAGGCAGAGGCAGCTGCTGAGGCTGCAGTGCAGAAAACACATCAGGTGATGCTTTGGGGTTACACCTGGGCAAGCAGGACACCTCACCAGGACAGAGGTGAGAGCCCCATGGACAGGGGTCCTCTCCAAGACCCTCTCCCATCCCAGGCTCCTCTGCCTCCAATGCTCTCCCAGGTTCTGCTCCAGGGCTGTCCCTGCCCCATGTACCAGCCCAGGGGCTCTCTGGCAGCACAAACAGCCAAAAAACTCAGCAGCAGCACCTGGTTTGCCCAGAACATTCAAAAACTGGGATCGAAGATGAACATCACCCGACATCTCTTCCTCCTGGCACACTCTTTGCTCCTCAGGGACCCTCCTGCCAGGTCTGGACCACCACCCTGCCCTCCAGGTGGGCACTTGGGCTCAGAAGGTGTTTTTATCCCAGGGTCTGAGCAAATCACCCCATCCCCAGGGCAGGGCTGTGTTTGGGGCTCAGGACTGGGTTTGTGGAAGGTTTGTCACTGCCACTGCCCTCCCTGAGGGGCTTTCCAGATGTGCCCCCCCCCCCAAAGGATAGCTCATCTGCTGAGGTGGGATCAGAACATCGTGATTTGGGGTGTCCAAAGGGGCTGCTGAAGGGATTTGGGATCC